CTAAAGCTGCCCAGTGTCATTACCAGATTTATGTAGATAATATAATCACTGGTGCTCGCAATAGTGATGAGGCTCTGGGTCTGTATAATGAGTTAAAGGTCTTATTTGGAGCAGGTGGGTTTGAACTCAGAAAGTTCTCCAGCAATTCCGAAAAAGCACTTACTGTTATACCCGAGGGTAGTCAAGAAATTCCGTTATGCCTGGATGGAGATTCCTTGACTGTCAAGGTTTCGGGTTTGTTTTGAGATCCTAAACTCGATCATTTCAGGTATACAATAAAAAAAAGTGAGCCTATTTTTACAAAGCGAAGTATGCTATCCTTCATTGCCAAAATTCCCGATATAAATGGATATATCAGTCCGGCAATTTATTCCGTTAAATGCCTATTACATTGTATGTAGCTGCTTAAGGTTGATTGGGATGATAAGTTACCCTAGAGGGAGCACACCAGAGAGTGTCTTCGTTGTGGAAGATTTTTCTTGAAAAATTTTTGCCTGGATCGTTGTATTGTCAGCCAGAATGCATCATCTATGCAACTCATCGCCTTTTCAGACGCTTCCGAGAGGGGTTACGAGTGTGTAATCTACCTGAGACTTGGATGCCCTGGAGAAGCTACCAAAATTCATTTGATAAGGACAAAAAGTAAGGTGGCCCTACTTAAGGTACAATTAGTGCCTCGTTTGGAATTAAACGCTGCTCTTCTTACCTCCAGACTACTTGCGTGTATTGGTAGGCTTAAAGGTCATTTGAAAATTGAGGAAGTGAATTGTTTTTCGGATTCTCGTAACGTAATATATTGGTTACAGACACCGCCGCTACACTTAAGATTTATGTTGCCAATTGCGTAGTACAGATTTTGGAAGTAATAGAACCCAGTTGCTGGCACTATATTCCTACAAAACAGAATCCAGCCGATTGTATATCGAGAGGCCTCACACCACACCAGATACTTTCACATGATCTTTATTGGAACGGCCCAGCATTTATTTCCTTGCCTCCTTCTGATTGGTCTATTTACCATATTGGACCTCCACCCGTTCTGCCTGAGGTAAAAACAATATCTCTTTGAGCGGCCTGAAAAACCTAACGATTTGTTGTTTTGCCTCGAAAAATATTCAAGCCTTTTAAAGCTGCAAAGAGTTTTTGCTTTCATTTTAAAATTTCTTAAATATTACCTAGATCGGGAGCAAGATAGATTTGCTGCTGGAACCTCGACTGCCGACGATCTTAAGGATTCCTTGATAGTTTATGTCAGACTCGTTCAGAGGAAATCCTTCACTGAATTAATTGATTGTCTTGAAGGTGGCAAACCATATAAGGGTTTCTTAAACAAGCTCACACCATTTTTTGATAAGGTCGGAGATCTCAGGGTGGGAGGTAGATTTAAGTATTCCACAATCGAAGAGAAAAGTAAGCACCCACTGCTGATACCTAAAGATTCTCATTTACCAGTCCTTTTGTGTGACCATTACCACAGGTATTCCTTGTATGGTGGGCCCCTGTTGGTCCAGTCGCTCATTCATCGTTAATTTTTGGATCCCTTCTCTAAGAAGACTCGTTAGAAGCCGGATTTATAAATGCGCTACGTGTCACAAAAATAATGTGAAACTACAGACTCCGAAAATGAGAGACTTGCCGTCTTTCAGGATGACCGAGGGTCGTTCCTTTCAGCAAGTTGGAATAGACTACGGCGGCACCTTCATTATGAAGATTTCCAGTAAGCTCAATGCTCCTAAATCGAAATGTTGGTTAGCTCTCTTTGTGTGCATGTCCAACAAGGTCATCCATATAGAACTTGTGGCGGATCTATCCACTCTTTCATTTATTGCCACATTAGATAGATTTGTTGCCAGACGTGGTTTGCCTTTGCGGATTATAGTGACTGCGGAACAAATTTCGTTGGAGTATCCAAGAAGTTGAACGAGCTTTATCAATTTGTTAAGGGAGCTCTATCATTTGTTAAGGGGCAGACCGAACCCATTTCTGACTATATGGGCCGGACGGGTATAAAGTGGACCTTTACTCCTCCAGTATCTCCTCATTTCGGTGGTATCTGGAATTCAGCTATTAAATCCGATAAGAGACACCTTCTTGCCGTTCTCCAGGATCATGCGTTGACATATGAGGATTTTTATACTCTTCTGGTTCGAGTTGAAGCTGTTCTCAATTCCCGTCCTATCTGTAATATTAGCAATCAGCCATCGGATAACCTGGATTACCTACCCCAGGACACTTTCTTATAGGTCAACCCCTCCTAGCCAGACCTGAACAAGGAGACGCAGCTGTGTTTCCTTTGACAAGTCGTTGGAAGATGATTTCCAAGACTCTTCTTAATTTTTGGAAGAGATGGTATGATGAATACCTCCATAATCTGGTGCCTCGCAACAAGTGGTATACTGACAGGGAAAATTTAAAGGAGGGAACCCTTGTAATTCTACATGAAAAAGATGTTCCACTGCAGGAGTGGCGGCTTGCCAGAATAATAGAGACACTTCCAGGGCCTGACAGTGTAGTTAGGGTGGTAAAATTGAGGACTGCTGGTGCACCGGTGCACAAGTTAGTGCATCTCCCTTCTGGAGAAACCTTTTATTGATATGAACATTTTTTTTTTTCTTTTGGCTTAAATTTAATGAGTAGTCAATTTATTTTAAATTAATTGTAATTTATTAGCCTACATTTGATCTGGCTCACTTTATTTCTAATTTTCCAAAACTCTATTTTGAATAATTTCTCTCTTTCTTTATTGTACATCAAGCTATTTTCCTCTCGATTGTGCTTTGCCTGGAAATCACCAATCTCTGAGTTTGGTTTTTTTTTCTTTTTTTGGTTTGTGAAATGAGATATTTTCGGTGGGGGATGTGTTTGTGCGAAAATAGTTCCAAGTTTCCCCGTTATGGCGTGTGGTGGTGGCAGATCAGAAGATCTAAAAGATAACGCTTAATCCGTACGAGCTAGGCAGCTCTCGACCTCAGACCAACACAGATAGTCAGTCAGACACGGCAGATGCTCCGAGGGCGCCCTCAGGTAAAAAAGACAAGTTTTAAACTGGCATAAAGATGGTAAGCTATTTTTGCACAATCAGTATCACCTACCAATCCATTAAAATACAGTCCACAGCATAAAAGTGGAATGTTGCCTATAATTTGAATTTTGTCTATTAAGAACTCATGAGAGTTGTCTTGCCTTAATTAAAAATTGAAAGTTGCCTAAACATATGCTGACCCCTGAAATAACAGCCATCAGCCTGGAGCATATAAATTCGAACAACCCTAGCCTCGAATGAACTCGCATATATAAGGATGGCTCAGCCACAGGAGCAATAAGCAATGGTGGCACTGGTCACAGCCGGATTAACGGGGCGAGGGAGGGGGCTTTCGGGCTGTAGATCTCCAAAACGGTAAAATGTAACCCTATTTTATGGATAACATATAAAAAAAACTATCTCTTAAAGTATAATTGTTTAAGTAATTACATTATATAGGACTTCAAGCATCAATTAATCACCATTTCATACAGATAGTTGGTTTCTTTTCTTTCCTAAGTAATTATCATAATATGTGTGAAAAAAAAACCTTTCGGGCTTAAGCCCCCCAAGAAATTAAATCCTGGATCCACTATTGGCGCTGGTATATATGTTGAATTCCCAGATGGGAGCACCATTGAGAAGTCAATTACTACAAGCAACAGCTCAACTAATTATCGGGCTGAGCAGGAGGCTATTGTGGGCGTTGTACAGATAATCCTATCTCTAGCAAATCCGAATAATGTGATAATAGTAATCCTGGTGGATGCAGGCTCAGTTCTCAATGCCTTAAGAACGAATTGGTACAAAAGTTGTTATCAACTAGCATCACATCTTGAGAAGTTAAAACACATTAGCAAAAAATTGGTTTTGGACTGAATGAGATAAATACAATAAACAAAACTGCGATAAGGCAAAGATGGGGCTCCAAACATCCTCATAGCCACTAGCGGTTTCAGGAATTAATTTTTTTGAGGGGGGCTTCAGCCTGAAAGTTTTTTTTTATATATATAACGATAATTGCTTTGGAAGAAAAAGAAAGAAACGAACTACGAACTATGAACTAAGAAACGAACTATGAGAAATGGTGTTTAAGTGATTCTTGAAGTCCTATTAAATGTAATTAACGAATTATAATACTTTTTATAGATAATTTTTTTCGTAAGACATGCATATATTTCACCTTTTTGGGAGAGACTTCAGCCCGAAAGCCCTTCTCCTCACCCTTTGCTCATAGCAATCTCCGAGACGCCTACCACAAACTTAATAGAAAAGATCAAGTCATGATATTCAGACTCTGGACCAACCACAACAGGTTGAATGCTCATCTTTTCAAAAAAATCAGAATTGGAAGGAGCCCCTTGTGTAAATTAGGTATAGAAGAATAGAACAGCTGAGCATGTTCTTCAGAGTTGTGTTCTTCTTAAACCTGAAGTGCGCCTGCAATTATTTTATTTTTAATTTATTTATTATTAATTAATATAACTTTTTTTATAGAATCCCACCAACGGTATTTTAACTCAATTTTTTTCAACAAAAATCCTCTAAACGTTGAGTGTATTTTTACAGGCGCCTTTAATCGCACGACCACCGCGGCCCCAATAATGCAAATAATCTTTTAAACGTACTTTATAATGAAAAAATTATCATTAAATTCGGACAACCAAAAACTCATTGATATATGTGCGATTTGTGAATAAGAAGAGGAAGAAACAATAAGATGAAAGTAAACAGGGAAGTGATCCAACAAGCTCGAAACTTTTGTTCATGATAAATAAATTGATTAAATTTGAAGTATGGAATAAATAAATGAAATTAATTAATTAAATGTATTATTCCTTGGATTTTTTTAATTTTTTATATATATACAACTTTCAAGATTTTTAAAAATCAGATTTAGGCTGTTTTTTTAAATGGTTGCCAAAACGAATCTGTTTACTACCTCAAAGAAAGTTTGTTCTTTATCGATACCAACACTGTCTAACCATCGCTCTCTATGCCCCTTAGCTAGTTGTGTACTTTCATATATGTTTACAACTATTTTTTCCATGCTTTCTAAAATTATTTTGCGTGTTACGGTCATAACTTGTTAGTGATATCTATTTATTTGAAATGATAAACAGTTCAATGGCTTTGAGAGATTATAAACTTTCAAGTTGTTTTTAATTTATATATATATTTTTTTCAATATCCTATCCTGTTTAGAAAGTTAATTGAAAGTTTTTTGTAATGGATGAAGATGATTTAAGAAATAGTCTTGGCACTAAGTCTCCCATTAAAAGGCTGGGTTCTACGAGAAAACTGATGATTTTCAATAGTAAGAACAGTTCTCTAATTATTATACTGTCAGTTGTTATTCTCTTTATGCATGAGTGTTTGTTTACCTCTAGTCCTGTTATAATTACATTTAGCAAAGATTGTGCACTTATATATAAATAAAATTGTTTATTTTTCATAAATCAATAACAACAGTCAATAAACTGTATTAATTATACTTGAAGCTTGTGTTTGTCTTTGTTTTACTATTTTAAAGATTTATTGATGAAGTATAGTTATAGTGAATATTGTTTATTTTTTCTAGTTTTCCATTCTTAGCTTTGGGTCATTAAGTGTGGTTGGCTTATGAAGCGATGTTTTATCAATCATTGAATTGTATAATGCTTTATTAAAGATTTGTTGTTTTTATGTCAAACTTTATTTTCTTGTTATGAATGTATTTTAATGTATTAACATTATTATTTTAAGGAATGTGATCATTGTGTGTGAATAAGTTATGATTTTAGTATATTTGATCTGTTGAAGTATATGGCATAACTGTCAATTAAATTATTTCACTTCATATTCCTCATCAAATTTCTTATTATCCATTATCCTTTTATTTTCATATATAGGCTGATTAGTTTTTAAAAAATCATTAGTATGCCAATAATATTGTATCATAATAAATTTTTGTGTACACATTACTATTTACATTTTATTTTCCTATGTTGTTTGATTGCTTTTAATCATTGAAAGTGTATTACGTTTAGTTTTTTTCCTCATCTAATTTTATTTTTTTCAGAATCTGTAACACTAGGCTGAAATTTTAACTTCAATTATTTGTTTCTACCCTTTATCTTAAAACTGTATCTCTATTTTTCAATATTCTCGAGTTATTAATAATGATTGTACATAGTTAACTGGCTTATTAGCTAGTGACCAAAAAGTTGTTATGATCACATTATTTTGAAGAAAATTATTAAGTGAACAGAATTTCATTTATGAGCTGTTTATTAATTTGAAATCAATGAGAGAAAAGATTCATCTTTATCAAACAACAACTATTTTCAGTATTATGTTTGTCCTTGGATTTATTCAAGGTTTAAATTATATTTAGTTATTTTTTTTTTTTTGTGGAGTTGGATAGTTATTACTTTACATATATAGTTATTATTCTTATGTTTTAAAATTTGTTTCTGTTCTCCAAGGGAGTAAGTTCCGTGAGTAAGGCATTGTCCTCCAATTCGGCTGTGACAGTAAATTATTTTCTCTGCTTTAACGGCCATGGGATGATGCTGGGGTACTGAATAGTGTAAACAGACCCATTTGGGGCACACAACCAGCCTCTATAAAGTGAGTACCCTTAATTGGGAGAGGAGAGGGGAAGGATACCTGGCATGGTCTTGGTCTTATCGCTCCCTTTATTTCTTTTTTTCTTTCCATTACCCTGTTGTAAAAATGAATGTAACTCTTAAACCCATGAAATTAATATTGGACCTAAGTATGTCTTCTGATTTATGTATAATCTCAAATTATAGAACTATTTTTACAATTATTTTTTTATCCTAATACGTTTAGCTATGTCCAATTATACATGTTTATTGATTCTTAGAATTTTTATTTTTTCCTCTTGTATTATATTATTTCAGGAACTTTTTAAATTAGAGTATGTTATACTGTTGTAGAGTATATAAAAACCCAAACAAGCTTGAATCATATTTTTTTTTACTGTAGAAATGTTTTTCCTTTTTGTATTGATAATTAGTTATTAACCAAAAAAAAGTTTAATATTGTCCATGGATGTATATTTATACTGATTTCATAAGTAGTTGATCAAATTTAAATTTACCTGTGTTCAGATCTACTTTAATCTTAATTCCATTCATTCCTCTCTACCTAATTGAAATTATAATGTATTAAGAATCACTTTGATTATTTTTTTTCTTAATTATATTCATAGAAACAATGAGTTTTGAATGTTAATTAATTGACAATCTTTATATATAATATAATTTGAATAATATTGTTATTACTGGTTGTATGTTGCAAGACAAGTACAGTGGGTACTTATATGCATGTAAATTAAATGTTATTCGCTAATTAATTATTTATATAATTGTATATAACATTAGTTTTATTTTGTTTTTATGTGTTTGGAAATCTACTTACATGCTAGAACGTTTTCAAGTATACCGCTAAGTCCTATGAAGGAATTGATTAATTCCACTTAAGTACTCGTTTGGATAAAATTTCTATCCACCATATTTGATGTAAAATTATTTTATTACTTTTTTGTAAATTAATTTATAATTATATTACATTTAGGGGGAAAAAGATCTATTTCTTCTTGGTTTTCTTCTTTTTTTATTTTTTATTATTGTGTTTAAATTGATTTCAATTTAATTATACTTATTCATCTCTTATATTTTAGATATTAGATTACAGTTAGCTGAGCAGCTAAGATGTCTAGATACACGTATGGAGACTCAAGTGGCAATTGTTGCCGAACTTCAAGACTTTTTTCGTCGAAGAGCAGAAGTGGAGTTAGATTATAGTAGAAGTTTGGATAAATTGGTGAAAAGTTTGCAGCTCCGCCATAAGGAACATAAACAGAAGTGAGAATTATTTTTCTTTTTTTAACAATTTTTAATATCATTTTTTTTCTGTTTTGGTCCCTCATTTAAATTCTTTTGAGTTTTTCAGTTGCTGGCTTTAAATCAAAATAAAATATCTGAATTGGTGTACTTTGTCTCACCAGGATTCTTATTCTGATTTATTAGATCATCTCAACCATGTTTAATAGTAAATTACCAACAGATATATTTTTATTTTTTTAAACCTTAGTTTTCAAGGATTTCACCATGCCACCAAGATCTTCAGAATCTAGTTCTACTCACTCTTTGATTTCCTTGTATTTTTCAAATTTTGTTTCTCCTTTTATATTTCAGGTTAGTCCAACTTATAACATTTTTTTTTTTCTGCCTGATAATGAAAGGAAGAGAAATGAAAATACCATGAGTTAATAATTTTAGTGCCTAACTATTCCAGCATTTTGAACCTAATAACCCATATTACCAAGATATTATGGAGTCATTAGTTTTAAGGCTATGTATATTACAGGAAGACCACTTGCATATTGAAGTCTTGGGACTTTTCATCCAAAGTCTAGGCTGTTCCACCTTGGATTTTGAGATGTTTATCTACATCCCAGTGTAGATCCACCATGTTAAGTTGTAGTAGGGCCACTTCTCGGAGGATACAGCCCTTCAACTGTATGGAGGGTTCTGGTTGTGGTGTCCCTAAGGCCTCTTTCATAGATCTCTCAACGTCTCTATGGAATGGGCAAATTCTTAAGCCCATTGTTGAGATCTGAAATCTATCAGAACCGTTCCTAAACTCAGCGCTGAGATTATCAATGAGCATCGGAAATTCATCAATGAATTAGTGCTGAGTTTAGGAACTTAACCATTCTGATCGAGTGAATCCCTCTCCTCAGTTCTTTGACCCCTAGGATTATTACTAAATCCTTCATGAACTTATTTCTTTTTCGATCTGCGTCATTATTTTAGATTTCTAGGGATTAAGGTTACTTCCATTAATTATTTTGTCATTCCCTCTCAAAATGAGATTTCTTTCAGAGCAAACATGCATTTGGCTAATTATAAGATTTACAAAATACTCCTTGGTTTCTGCATGAGGATTCTCTTGATGAAATGATTTTTGCTGAGCTGTCTTTTAGTTAAAATTGAATATTTGTGGAACAGGATTATCTATCTCTTGATTTGTATGTGTCAGCCAGAATTTTAAAATAATTAGGAGGGTGAATCTAATATTAACATTAATTATATTTTTTAAATTATTTTATATAATTATATATATATTAATATTATACTAAAACCATATTTGAAGTGTAGTCTACTACATGATCTATCCACTTTTTCTATAGATCTGGAAGTTTCCTTGTCCTTTAAAAGTTCAAGGATAAATTTCAGTCAATTATGTTCGTATTCCTTGACTTCTTAATTGTTTTCCTCCAAATGATTCTTTCAAGGATGCAGACAAAAAATAATTAGAGGAGTTTAAGTTTGGTTTAAAAGGAGGTATTCTAGGTTTTCCCAGCCCTATTTATTTCTAGTCAAGATAGCATTATAAGACGAGGCACTATCATGAAGAAGGATGATGTCTCTCTTCTGGCATGATCTTAAAAGTGAAACAGGGGTCATCTTCAATAAACTCTATAATGGCAAGAATGTTTTCATCTATATTATCTGTTAGAAGTCTTTAGGCATTAGATTGTAACTTTCATTTTTGACGTATTTTCATCCATTGAGTAAATTTTCTAGTTTATGTACTATACTTTCTGATCATTTATAGAGCAGTGTAATGTCTTTAAACTATGCCTCTAAACAAGTTAAAAATTCCAGGTTTTAATGCCTTCATTGTTTAAAACTTTATGATTATTAGTTATGTATCAGATAGATGTACCCCCTGTTACAACTAAGAGTAGAAGGCTTCTAAATTGGAGGCGAAATTATGTAGATCATGCATGTGACCAGATTGAGAAATCTTTAAAGTATTGTTTGCTTATAATTTTAATCAATTTATTTATGGTTGACTCTAGAAGTAACTCAAGAAGGACGTGGTCTGGAAGGCAGTCAACAATAAATTAAAATTGTGGTAACTGTTTAGTAAATTATGTTACAGCAAAAACTACAGATTTTCAACAGAGTTGAATAAGAAGGCATATCTTGAGTTGTCAAATAAGTCCTTTTGGTTTTTCAGGGTGAAATAAAACTCAATGTATTATAGACATAAAATTTATTTTAATCTACAATATATTGACCATTATTTAATGTGACTTTTTCTCATCTTTCCACTAAGTAAATAATGCCATGTCCATAGAATGTCTGGAATTTATTGTTAAACAACTGATCCAAGTGGTTTTTAATGTCCTCTTCCTTTTGGAATTTCTTTCCCTTCATGGAGTTCTGCAGAGACCATAATAGGTGGTAGTCATTTAGAGCTAGGTTTGGTGAATAGAGAGGGTGGGGCAAAAAGTCCCATCTGAGGCTCAATAATTTATTGTGAGTGACCAGTGAGATGTGGGGCCTAGCGATATATTGGTGGGACACAACACCCTTCCGATTTTCCAGTTCTGGGAGTTTATTTTTAATTGATTGATCCAATTTTGTTAATTGTGAGCAGTATTGAGTTGAATCAATTGTTTGTCCTGATAGAAATAGCTCATAGAAAATAACAGCCCTGAAATCCCACCATATGGAAAGCATTATCTTCTTTGGATGCAATCTGGGTTTTGGTATTCTTCTAGGAGCCTCACTACTAGGTCCTCAAGATTTTCTATGGACTACATTATCATAAAAAAATATCCTTTTTTCATCTCATGTTACCAACCTCTTCAAAAATGGGTTGTTTTGTTGCCCTTTCCGTAAACAGAAATGCTTGTTGCCAAGTTGACTTCGGTTAGAGACTGAGGGACCCAAACATTAAGCATGGAAACATAGCCGAGCTTGTGCAAATGGTTTTCTACGCGTGTGTGCGACACATTTAGGGCCGTAACAATCTCTCGCTATGATTGGATGGGATTTTGATCAACAATGGCCTTAGCATTGCTCATTTTAATTTCATGTGGGCGACCAGACCGTTGAGCATCATTGATGTCAGAATTTCTTGAATGAAATTTGGCAAACCAATTTTGACATGTGCATTCGGTTAAGGCATCACCCCCATAAACACTGCAAATTTTTCTATGAGCTTCTGCAGCACGCTTACCTTTTTTAAAATAATACAACAAAATATGCAGATAATGAATGATATTTTCTTCCATATTCACAGTGAAAAAGCAAACACAATACTAAGTTAGTTTCAGCAAGAGTTAGCAGATATATGAAATGAAAATATTTTTTATTATCCTGGGACTGTTGTCTCTTTAGGACAAATTACAGATACAGAATAAATGCCTGTGTGGCCATACATAAAATTAATTATTTACATTTATTATTAAGATTAAGATTTTGAAAAAATTATAAAACAAAAAATATAACTATTACACTAAAAATATACTGATATGTATAATACAAACGTGGCAAATAGCATAAGTAAAGAAAATCATTTCTGGGGGAACTTTAAAAGTTCTCTTATCTATATTTCATGATCAATCGGGTTGGGAAAGGAGTAAGTGGTTAAAAAGGAGAGATTTAAATGAGGAAACTAATCGTACATGTCGGATATCGGGAGGGATGGTATTCCAGAAGGAGACGGCTTGAATTCTAAAGGATTTGTCAAATGCTGCAGTTCGGTGTGAAGGTGGATAGAGGTCAGAGGTACGAGATCTAATGAGACGGGATTGAATGGAATATTTGAATTGTAGGCTGTGAAAAATATAGGAAGGCCGCTGAATTCTGATGACTTGGTATAGAAAGGTAGCAAGGAAGTACAGACGGTGGTTCGATGTATAGAGCCACTTCAACTTGGTATAATACTGGGTTATATGCGTATCTTTTGAGATTCTGAAAACAAAAAGGTATTGCGCAGTTCATTAGGCGTTTAAGTTTAGCCTCGAATTCTCCCAAGTGTCCGCCGTACACCAGACAGCCATAGTCGACGTGGGGGAACACAAGGGAGGAAACCAGGAGTTGACGGGATTTATATGGAATCAGATAGCGGAGACGGTTAAACTGTTTCAGGGTAGAGATAATACGATGGGAAATTCGGGAGATGTGTGTTTTCCAGGAGAGGGTGTGATCGAATGTTATACCAAGGTTTTTTACGGAAGTATGGAATGAGATAGATAGGTGAGTTGTTCAGGAAAAGATTGGGGAGCATCTGTATGGAGGAGTGAGGGAGATCCGATCAGGATGGTTTTCGTCTTATTGGCGTTTAGAGTAATCCTATTGTGATTTGCCCAGGCACAAATATTGCGTTTATATCCTCCTGTAATTTTTGGATGGTGCCAGAGGATTCGGTTGGATTGAAGGAGAGGTAAATCTGGACCTCGTCGGCGTACAGATGGTATTGACAGTGTAGGATAGAGGATGAAAGGTCATTAATGAAGATGGAAAAAAGGGTGGGAGATAAAGAGGAGCCTTGTGGGACACCCCTGGACAAGGGTAAAGATTCTGATGGGGGGGGGGGGTTATTGGGGACTACAACATATTGGGAGCGGTCGGAAAGGAAGGATTGGAACCAATTAAGGGTACTAGTTGAGAAGGAAATATTTTTAAGCTTGGTTAGGAGAATTTTGTGGTCTACTGAGTCAAAGGCTTTGGAGAAGTCAAGGAGAATAAGGATGGTTAGTTTCTATAGTATAGTTGTTGACATACTACAAACAGGATAAGCAATCCACCTTAGGGATTAATTCATCAGATAAGAATTATATCTTAGTGATTTGAAAATAAACAGAAAAACCGAAAGGACTTATTTGCCAATCGAATAGATGTCAACTATTGATGCTAGTTCCTAATTCATTCCTGATGAAGAATTACAATGTGGGTCAATACTTCCATATTTAATAATATAAGAATAATGATAAAATAGTTTCCACAATTTATATTATTTTTTACTGCCATCTCTTTGGTTACTCAATGAATGAATTAAAAAATCTATTTATCAGCGACACACAACAATCTATTGGCGAGTCAAGGCCTCCTAAATCTTCTGCCTATTCTATGTGTCCCGCTCCTGTGCATTGACCATGATACCCAAATTCTTAGCGATATCAAGCGTTTTCATCTCGCCCCAAAAAAAATTGGGTTGAAATATTCTATGAAATCTATCTTCACTGAATTCCAGCCCTCCTTGAGTTTGTGAATTGAATGAATTTTGCTATATCTGGTTCCTTTAAGAAGTCATACTAATTCTCTATTAGTTCTTAATCCTAATATGGGATCATCGTTTCATTAATTTAATTTATTATTTATTGGTTTTCAGAAGAGAGCAGTGGTCATTATTTTCTAGCTATTCCTGTTGGCAGCATCTTGTTGAACAAACTCGAACCCTTAGCAAAGATCATGCAGCACTAAGTGAAATTTACTCTGCTCATCTTGTGTCAAAACTGTCACAAGTAATGGAAGATATACAAAGAATCTACAAAAAGGTGTGATTATAAATTTAAATGTATTACATTATTAATTTGTTTTATTTTTCTTTAATATTTTTTAGTTTTGTATTTAATGAGTTTAATGAATGCATCAGTTGTATAATTTTTAATAATCATTATCGCTAAAAATGTGAAAATACTTAACCACAAGAGTGAAAAAAGGAATAAAAAACAGTTCTTTCTTCCAAAGAAAGTCCAAACCTGTATCTTTACCATCAAATTAAGATATTTAAGGCCTCATCCTTGACTTTAAATAACTTAAATAAAAAAGCACCATTGTTGATAAGACCTGGCAAATTTCTGCTTACACTGATGACCTGGTGATAGCTGCACGAAGTGAAAAGGCGCTTAAAGAGGCATTTGAGATTGTGTACAAAAATAGCAACAAAGTAGGACTTGTGGTCAATGAAAACAAAACTAAATACCTGAAACTGTCCTCGGCAGCAAGTAAAAGATCCTGCAGTAAAAACACAATAAAGAATTTTAAGTTCAAAAATGGACCCACATTCGTGTATCTTGGTTCTGCCCTAAATAATGAAAATGTAATCAGTAGAGAAACAGACAAGAGAACAATGGCTGGTAATAGAGCTTACTATGCAAACCTAAAACTTCTCAAGTCTCCATTGTTGTCAAAAGCCACAAAAATAAAGAGCTGTATAAAATGCTTGTTAGACCAGTAGTCTGGTGTTTATCGCAAGAGGATTGCCGTAAACTAAAACTATTTGAAAGGAAAATAATAAGAAGGATTTACAGTGCTGCAAGTGTTAATGGTGAGTGGAAAATCAAAAGTAACAATAAAATCGAGGCTATATTAGACAATCAAAACATTACTAACTATGATAACTTGCCTACTCAAGCCAAGTAGGCTTAGATGGACACGACATGTAGTCAGAATGGAGAATGAACGGGTGCAGAGAAAAATATTGGAAGCACACTTCAGTGGTAAGAGGAAAAGAGAAAGACCGAGAAGCAGATGGAAGGATGAAGTGGAGAGAGATGCGAAGAAGCTAAGAGTCCGTAATTGGAAGAGAGTAGCACAGGATAGAGAAGTGGAGGAAAATAACTCAGAAGGCCAAGGATCATGCTAGCCTGTAGCGCCGGGGAGTTATTTAGTTAGTAAATAAAAAGTCTGTGATACAGACTCCTTTTTCCCTAATTATTAACATCCATCTAAAACTTCGTGAAGGGCTTCTTATTGTTTTCGAAAAAGAAAGACACGTCCTTCCAGGGTGACACCTGTCGGGTTTCTAATCATCAGTGATTTTTTCGACCTATAATACTAAATAAAAAAACATATTTCTGACTATTATCAATTGTCATTATAGCAGAAATATATCACCATTTTTTTAATTTTAATCAAATCCTACCTCACCGATATTCGAACATAACGAGTAGCCATGAGCAGGTGAGGACTATCAGCTGTTTTATTCACAATTTTACAGGTGTGGTGTTTTTAATTCTGTATTTTACCTACATTTTGGATTAATTGTTGTCCATTTTTATTTATTTCATTATCTTATTGTAACGTACAATTTTTTTATCTACAAAAATTCTCAGAAATGGGCCTTTTTCTCATTATGTTATTTAACTTTTTTTTTCTTTCTTTTCTTCCCTACCTCGCCTTTTAGGCTATATAGAATTTTCCCGGGCCGGGAGGTGAGGGCGGGGAATTTAAAATCCCCTCCGGCACCCGGACGCAAACTCGTACTTTTTAATCTCTCAAATCTGTTATCTGGTTGCCAGACAACTCGCGGTGCTGTGCACACACTTTAGCCCATTCAGCCACCCCGCACCATGTTATTTAACTTATTATACTAAAAACTCGGGAATACCCATTTGCTTTCTATTTGAATTGTGAAATAATTTGATTATGAAATCAATAAAAAAGTGGCCTATTAAAATGTTAGGCCGTTTGATCTGTATAACTTCGTATTTTGACATATGACTGTAGTTCACTCTAAACAGCTCAATATAGCAGGCCACTTTTTCCTTGATTTTTGTGATAAAATTATCTTGTGATTCAAGTGGAAAACAAATGGATGTTCATAAGTTTTTAGTACCTCATTAAATAAACAAAGTTTATCATATATAAATTGGAAACACCCCATTTCTGAGAATTTTCGTGAGTAAAAAAGTTATAGCTTACAATATACTGAAGCCATTCACGAAATTTTAGATGAATGTTATTAATTTGATAATAAGGAGTATGTACTGTGGGCAATTGAAGAATGCATTATTACAAAATAAATATTTTAAGTGGTTTTCATTTTTATTTCTATTTTTAATAGACCAATAAAATTTCATTTCCCAACTGTCATGTTAAATGATTGAAACATAAAGTAAGATGATGTTTTAGTCACTCAATAGTCTTAATAAATCATTTATTACCTCCTTAGATGTAAAATTTTCACTTTATCTTTTTGTTTCAAATCTATAATGAAAATAATAGTGGTATATCAATTACACCCGCTCTGTTGTCTATTTATGTTTATGAAGGTTTAAGTCATTATTGCCATATGATAGACTTCAAATAGTTGCCGACAGAGCAAACTGGTTTTAACTTCTCTACTTATACTAACCTAATGCATAATATGAACTTTTATATTGTCACATTGTTTCATACCATCTCAGTCAAACTCTCTAATCTACCAGGATTAGGATTTTTAACTTAATCCTTCAAAAGACTAGATATTTATTTTTAAATGCGTAAAAAAAAAATTAGAGTATACTTGGAAAATCCAACCATGCAACCTTGTGTCTCAAAAATGTAGGTTTAAGGAAAAATAACTCATCAATGTTCTTCTAGTTCAGGTATCATCAGGAAAGAAAAAGAAAAAAGGTCACATCACTCAAACACATTCTTAAATATCAGCATGTGTTCGGATGTCATTAGTAGCAGATCCAGGGGGCTTGGTTTTTGTTTATTTTTAAATAATGAGTAATTACTTGGGAAGGAAAAGACAGAAGTTATATAAATTAATCTGTAAGTGGTCCTTGAAGGCCTGTTAAAAAAAAAAAAATTATGTTTACAGGTTCAATAACGCTTTTAGCGATAACGTTTTTTCTTGATATGTGTTTATGGAGGTGAGCTTTTTTTTTTTTTTAATAATAGTAATTACTGTGGAAAGAAAAGATAGAAACTATAAAGTTAATCTTTAAGTGGTTATGACGAAACATTGAGTTCAGTTGAGTCAACATGTTTAAGAAGTGATTGATTAGTAAGGAAAGCAAAATTGAGTCAACAGTAATCTAATTTTTTTTACACGATTTATATTTTTTGTAATATGTTCTTGTTAAATTTAAAAGGTAATCATTAATGCCCTTCAATGTGGCATAATGTATTAATATTGAATTAATAAAAGAACAAGGTAATTAGCTAAGTTCTATATAACGTATAATAATAATAATAAGGCTTAACGAACCCGAAGGTTCGATGCCGACACCACCAATCGCTTGTTACACACCTCCCTCCACCGTTCGCCGTCCAAACCCAGTCCCTTCAGATCGGCTTTAAGGCAATCTTCCCACCTTCGCTTCGGTCTACCACTCGGACGCTTACCATTCGGCACAGCAAATATTAACCTTCTAGGAATTCTCTCGTTACTAAGCCCAACAACTTTACAAGCCCATTTGATTCGCCGCGATGAAATTACCTCAATTGTATTACCCGGATACAGCTCACGCAATTCGGCGTTGTGTAACCGTCTGAACTCTTCGGTTAACTCATCCTTCTTCGGTCCGAATATTCTACGCAATACTTTATTTTCAAAAACCTTAAGACGCTGCTCATCCCTTAATGTAAGCGGCCAAGTTTCGCATCCATAAAGAACTGTAGGCAATATAATTGTTTTATAGATTCTAATTTTTAAGTTTCGGGACAAGAGGCGCGAACTAAGTAGTTTTGTCACAGAAAAATAACAAGCATTCCCCGCCTTCAGTCTGACCTTAATCTCTTCAATTTCATTTTTTCTAGTTATCGTAGAACCTAGATACCTAAATTTATCTACCTGTTCAAACATATTACCATCTATATCGATATCACCAGTAGTATCGCCATTTTTGCAGCTAACCATATATTTTGTTTTATCCACGTTTATTCCGAGTCCTAGTTCTTTACCGGCTTTCATTAACGTTGTCGTATTTAGTTTTATAGTTTCAACGTCTTCGCTTAACAGTACCAGATCATCAGCATAGCCCAGCACGGATGTTGTCCCGCCCAGATCCAACCCTTTCTCGGTTCGCATTACCTCCCTAATGGCATGTTCTAATGCCAAATTGAACAGGACAGGCGAAAGAGAATCCCCCTGTTTTAAGCCCGAACGAACCTCAAATTTTTGGACAAATTATTACCGATTCTAACTTTATTGAGTGTCTCCGTCAAGCACATCCTGACTAGATTTACTAGTTTTTTTGGAATCCCCTGCTCGATTAGAATATTATACAGTTTCTGGCGGTCAATAGAATCGTAAGCCTTTTTAAAATCTATATACAGCTGGTGAACAATACCGTTATACTCCAATTTTTTCTCTAATATTTGCCGTAAAGAAAATATTTGATCAATTGTCGAACGATTCCGTCTAAATCCGCATTGGTAGTCTCCGATAATTTCCTCGGCGTATTCCGTGATTCGACTGGTTAAGATTAAAGTTAATATTTTATTACATACCGGAAGGAGTGAAATTCCTCGATAGTTATTACAATCCGTCCTCGGACCCTTCTTGTGAATCGGAATAAGAATAGATTCTTTCCATTCTTCAGGTAATTTCTCGTTCACCCAGATCTTTTTAACCAACCGGTGTATTTTAGAAACTCCAGCTTCCCCGCATGCCTTAATTAGTTCAGTAGGAATATTATCGATTCCCGCTGCTTTATATGAATTTAATTTTCCGATAGCTACTTTAACTTCCTCTTTACTTGGTCCTTCTATTAACGGTTCAGCACTCTGGTACTCAGAAGGAGGACACAGATCATAATTTCCCGTATTTAAAATATTGTCAAAGTGGTCCTTAAACTTATTCAATATGTCAACCGGATCGGTCAGAATATTGTTATTATCATCCCTAATTCCAGACGTTACGGGCCCTACATATTTACGTGATCTGTTTATACCTTTGTACATGTCTCTTACGTTATTTTCGATTCTATTAGTTTCTATTTCAATTATTTTATTTTTAAGATACTCCCTTTTTTTATTTTTGAGCAATTTTGTAGTTTTGTTCTTTGAGATTCGGAAGTATTCCAGATTGTCTTCGCTAGGATTATTATAACGTATAATAAATATTTTAAAACAAAATTCTGTTAAAATACCATAATTTATTTTATTCTAAAAATTCATAACCAGCTGGTAGTGATATAGTATCTTATTACATATATTAATGCTATATAGCTTCGTTTTGTGACCGACAATTTCCAAACGATTCTTCGGAATACTATCATTGAATGAATAATGATATAAATTTATATTATCAGATTCTTTTGGGATTCACCAGTAATGGATCCAGGAATTAATTTTGAGGTTTTTATCTTTTTTTTTTTTTTGAATAACGGTAATTACACAGGAAGTAATTGATTGAAACTTTATAAATTAATCTTTAAGCGGTACTTGAAGGCCTATTAAAAAAAAACTATGTCTACAGGATCAATAATGCTTTTAGCGATCTTTTTTTTTATTGAAGTTTAGTAGCTGAAATACATGTAATAATTTAAACAGAGTACATGTTTTGATTGTTAAATATTTAGCTCAGGTTACTCAGAGAAACAAATATGGGCTAATGAAAAAAAAAATCCAGTTAATCTTTACCATTAGAATGCTTTCAATAGCAATGTTTCTTATGTTTTATTTATTTTATTTTATATTTTAGTGCAGGGAAATTGGTTGTGATATCCATGATGAAATATTTAGAGTTTTACATGAGCTGCATACTGCATTAAAAACATACCAATCTTACCAAGGAAACTATAAGCAAGCTGAAACTAAGCTGAGGTTAGCAGAAGCTCAAAGGCACAAAGTAGAATCGAGTATTCCAAGAGAAAAATTGGATCGTTCAAAAAAATTCAGGATGATAGAAAAAGATGTACAAAAGGTATTTGTTATCCATTTTTTTACTATATTAGATTGTCTTTATATGTTTTAATTTAATGCCCCATTTATTTATATGGAATTCAATATTTATTCATTATCACCTTCAGTTCAGGCTACTAGTTCCCAAATCTGTTATTAGTTGACATGAAAAAGGCAAGTGACATTTTTGTTGTAACTTGCCAACTTGCCAAACCAGTAGTAGGCAACGTAGAATGTTGCCTAGTAGCATGGCAATTATTATATAATAAATTATAAGTGTATTATTATTTCAGAATCATATTTTAGTAAAAGTAATATTTTGAAAGGTTTTGTTTAGAAAAATAGGTTGTTAATATAGAATACCCTCAGGCCTGACATACCAATTCTATCAATAAATATCTCATCCGCTTATTTTGATTTTTTATTGATATAATGATTGTTATAGGCTGTGATGGTATGAATTTAAAAACAAAATGTAAAAGGTTATCAGCATTTTTTATCCAATGGATTTCAGTTATTTTAATTCTAATAGGATTTAATTTTCAACTTGTTTGTTGTAAAGAGAATTGATATGTATTTTTTAAGATTAGTGTTATAATATATTTCTCAAGTATTAACGTAATAGTTTAAGCAATTTTATGATTATTAGAAATCTGCCTTGTGTTACATTCTGTAGCTGCTCTCCCACAAAGTTTATAAAAAATTTGTTTTAGTATTAAACCATTACATAACATAAAAAATTATTATTATTAATTACAATTATAATAATTAATTATTAAAATTAAAACCTTCAGTGTGTTATCTAATGACATATGATTTAAATAGTGACTATTAATTTGTTCTAGTGAAACCACATGTACTTTAATTTGTAAGATTGTTTTAACGAGATTTTATTATTTGTATAAAGAATTAATTTTCATGTAATTTCACTAGTACAAATTAATAATCACTATTTAAATCATATGTCATTAGATAACACACTGAAGGTTGCAGCAGTGTTGTAGTACACTGTAGCAAACTTATATGAATTTGTCATTTTTCTATTATGTTGTTTTCATTTAAAATTTGTGAATTTGTTTTCAGCGAAAAAATAAATATTTTGATGCTAAACTGAAGGCCCTAAAAGCTCGAAATGAGTATATACTATGTATTGAAGCATCTAATGCAACATTACATAAATATTATGTTGATGATTTATCTGATCTTATTGACTGTATGGATCTTGGTTTTCACCATTGCATTTCTCGAGCCTTGTTAATGCATGTTACAAGTGAAGAAGGTAGACAAAAGTCTATTCAAAGTAACATTGATACTTTGAATACTGCTTTATCTGGTTTAGATTCTAGACTAGATAAGCAACGATTTCTTGAATTTAACCATACATCATTTATGATACCAAAAAAGTTAGAATTTCAAGGGAAAAAAGAAGATGTAAGTATTAATTCTTTGATTTCAAAATATACTTTGTTATTTTATCATATGATATTCTTAATTTCACTAGCACTCTGAGTATATACTTAGAATAAAATTATATTAGATTAGATTTATTTATCGTGTTAGACTTGTTACTGATTTTATAGTTTCTTCATTTTGGAATCCTTTATTAATTGAGAAATGATTTTTGTTTTATATAGTTTGAAATACTATGTCAATATCATGAAAGCTTGTTAGATATTTTTTTGGATATATTGGAGCGTAATGTTAATTTTTGCCTATGAAACTAGGTTTTGTGACAAATAATTACCCTCTATATTCTGTTTAAAAATTTGCAAAAATTACCATGTGGTAATTATGGACCATGGTCCCTCAAGAATTCCAATCTCTTTTCTTTAATTGTTGTAAATATATAAGTGCATCCAATATAGGGAAGCGAGTTAAATGTGTTTTAAGATTTTTTAAAACTTTACATTTGAAATAAAAATAATTAAATATACTTTGGCTGTTCACATAATTTTCAATGGAATACACCTCCAATAATATGTCACTATAATAAAATATTGAAGAATAATGAATCCATACCCTAGTACAGGAATCCTTAGTCTTTTTTTTTTTTGGCTCTGTAAGAATGATAAATGACTATTTTTTATTTTTGACTATTTTATGATGATAAAAAAAATAGTGAATAATTTATGACTTTTTTAAGAACAGAACTTAGCTTAGTTTAGCCGCTTGAAAGTCCTCTTTAAAGAGTTTTAAAAATAATAAACGTTATCTTCATTTGTAGTAAATTTTGTCTAGTTTACAGGGAAGCAATGTTTAATTACTGAAATTAAATATTTCTTTAGTTATTGTGTATTATTCAACAAAAAACACAAAACTTGGATTTACTGCTGAAAATTGGCCCATAGTGTATATAAGAGAATTCAAAGATATTTAAGCATTCAACATTTCATGTAACCTTAAATAAATTAAATTATCTTACATCAGGTTGATATTTTATTTTTTATTATTCTCTGATTATCTAGCTTTAATAAAAGGCCAATTATGACAAAATTTAAGTAGGCCGACGCTCAATGCATACACTAACATTACCGACATCCTCGAGGAATGGGTGGTATCTTTTGGCCTGTTTAATGCCCTCGCGTTTCCTTTTTATGTAGGATAATACTTGGCCACTCAGCCAATATTGTGTGGGGCTACCTAGAGTTAGTGTCCGCACCTTGGAGTGGCCAGCTCGCAACCCGGACTTCAATCCCATTAAATATCATTGGGACGCCCATCCATTGAAAACAGAACTTCTATGTGAACCCCAAGTATGTGAATGGAATCAGATTCGAGATTGGGTTGCCAACCTTATTCGCAGTGTGCCTACATCAGTACAGGCCAATATTTAAGGGCAGACAACGCTTGGTACTAGAGACTCAGATATCATAATTAAAAAATAATTTGTTTAAAAGAGTATTCATTTGACATGGATTTTTTAAAATGAATTTTTTTTGTTTTTTGTGACAGTATATTTCACACTATATTGAGGTAAAAAAAAAAATCGCAAATTTTTTACTGTTGGATAAGAAATTATGACCAAATTTAAGGTGCACCAGTTTTTATGACTGCTAGTGTATATTCAATACTTATGTAATAATTATTTTCATAAAGTAAATTTTAGACTAGAACTTTTAAATGATTAAAGATTATTTTTGAAAATAACGCTATCATTAATTTTATTTAATATCTTGCTTAATGCTCATTATACGTATTTGTTGTTTTAAATTAATTGTAACTTATTTTAGGCTGAGCCAGAATTCCAAAAGTTATTGTATGCAGACATGGGAATTAGATTATCTCAAATGGAAACTAGAATCAACACAGTTCGAGCTCAAAATGATGAGATTTGGAAGACTCTTGAAACTGCTGAAGGCTCATTACTTCAAATTCTTACTTTAAAGGACTATGATTTTTCACATTTTTTTGGTGATAATGCGTTGCCAAGTCCTAAGCCACCTGAAACTGCATCATTGAAACTACGAGCTGATCGTCATGAAATCGAGGAGTTTTATTTAACTGTACTTAATTAATATTTGATAACATATCATTATTTAGTGAATAATATATATATATATATATATATATATATATATACATACATAATTGTAATTAGTAAGTAATATGAAGTAACAAGTGAGAAGTAATGTATTTGCTCAAATATAGGTCGAGGTTTTTTCTTAAATTTTCTTCAGTAAAATAAGGGTTCCACTTGTATTGGAGTTCGACTTATATTCGCATTGGATCAAGAGATATTTGAGTTTCTAATTGACTTTTGGTTTTTATATCACTTCACAGTTTGTAAGATTATTTTTGTAAAGCAAGGACCCCAGTAAAAAATGTTTCCTGAACTCTCACCATACTTCAAGTTCACCATTAAACTCACTACCTCGCTCTTTACAATTTATGTAACACCAGTATTATTTAAAGTAATTACGTAATAATTATTTATAAATGAAAACTAAATGTATATAAAAGCTAAAAATTAAAACTTGGACAGCTCTAATCAAGTTTGGTCCACTGGTTGAAAAAACCAGATACCCCACATCACTTAATAGTTTATATTTGTATATTTAAACTGAGAGTTTTGAACAAAAATGAAGGATACCAAAAAAACAAAATGGATGACTAGCTGATATTATTAGTGCTCAGTAATTAATTTTTGAGAACCTCGCCTGATTAGGTAAGTTTATGGAGAAAAAAAAAAAAACAGAATGAAAATGAAAAATGACATTATCAATTGAAAATGTTTAACCAACTTAAATCAGAAGTTGGATACTAACTAAAACAAACTAAACAGATAATTTTCATATTAGTGCTGATTGAAACCATTCCACTATTTAAAAACATGATTGAAAAATTAATAAGATTTCATTAATCATAAATATTGTATTTTTTTTGCTTCTATCAAGGAAACAATGCATCTTAAACAATACAAATATTCTATTTAAAATTCTAATTGAAAAAAATTGCAACAGGAATTATTTATTATATTAGTGTTTTCTTCATCTTACATAAAGGTTGCAATTTTTGTTCTAAAATCTCAGTTTAAATATACAAATATAAGCTATTAAGTGGTGTGGGGTATCTGGTTTTTTAATCCTGTGGACCAAACTTGATTAAAGCTGACCAAGTTTTAATTTTTAGCTTTTATATACATTTAGTTTTCATTTATGCCGCTGATTTAGCCCGAGCCAGATACCTGTCCTTTCATGATAAACTCCAGTCCCATCCGAATCCACTTGTTTCCAGCCTTACTTCTTCCTCGATTCCTGATAATCCCCCTAGGCGTCTGAAAAGAAGATGGCCTCGTGATCTCACCTAGAATTAAAAAACCTCAACCTATATTTCAGCAAGTACATTACTTCTCACTAGTTACTTTATATTACTTACTGTTCCCTTTATTTATTTATTTTTTCATCTATTTTCCTATTGTATTATATACTTTATATTCACATAAATTTTATATAAATGATTGTCTGTGAAATAATTCATTTTAATTGATTGCAGAAACTACGTGATTTTCTTTTGGGTACTTCACAGATTGCTAGGCTGGAGGTCAAATATGATTACATGAGAAATAGCCTAGCTGAGCTTAGTAGTAGTAAATCATTTCAATATACTCCAAACTCAGGGATTAAACCTTCAAGAAGGAAATGTATTGGCCGCTTAAATATTACAACTCAACCGAAATTATTTGGTGGCTCACTTGGAGAGTATATTGACTCAACGAATCAAGATATACCTCTTATTATAAGGAGTTGTATTCGGATAATTAATCTTTATGGTTAGTAAGCAATATTATTTATTCTGTTTTGAAAAATTTAATTATAGTAATTAATTAAATATTAATACCAAAACTTCCATAGATTATTAGCATTTTTATTTAGGCTGGTCAATAAGGTATTTCCAGGTATCACCAACAATACCTAGGCGACACCATTCAATTTATTAACTCATGGAAATGGAAGAAGAGAGCATGGGAGGGAAAGGAGCTAGAGGATATAGAGGCCCATTGGAGTGTAAAAGAAAGTAGAAAATTCTTCCAGAAGGTCAATTGTGGACGTGCTGCTTTTAAGATATACTGGATCGGTGGGCTAATCACTTCCCTTTGTTATTAAATGAGGAAGCGGTTATAGAGGATATTGAGACATGCGACATTGCTGGAGAGGATATGCCTAACAGTGTTGGAGATATCAATCCCCCGGACTTTGAGGAAATAATGGATGCAATCCTTCGAATGAAAAACAATAAGGCGCCGGGACCGGATGAATTGTCAGCCGCGCTCTCTAAGTATGGGGGAGATGAGTTTTATAGAGCCCTAATTACTTTGTAACTCACAGTTACTTGCTCATAAACAATCTTACTCTTAAATTGATCATATGGTTATTTTTTTACAAAAATCTAATTAATTCAATTTCTATTATGTCAAAAACGTAGTCGATATGTACATTTGTAATATTTTCCTCTTACAGGTCTACATCATCAAGGTATATTTAGAGTTTCTGGTTCTCAAGTCGAAATAAATAATTTTAGAGATGCATTTGAAAAAGGAGAAGATCCTCTTGCTGATATTACGGATGCATCTGATATGAATTCAGTTGCTGGAGTTTTGAAACTGTACCTGCGGGAGTTAAGAGAACCATTGTTCCCCATTATATATTTTGAACAGTTCATGGAACTTGCTCGTTTGTATTTCAGTATATTTTTATTTCTTAATTTATAATTTTTAACTTTATAAATTTTAATAATGTTTTTTTTTTTCAGAGTTGGAATCTAAACATGATTTTGTCATCAAAATGAAAGATCTGATTCAAAGCTTGCCACGCTCTGTTATTATAGTAATGCGATATCTGTTTGCTTTCTTAAATCAGTATGTATATTTTGAATTTATTTTAACTTACCTATCTAGTTTTATTGGCCTTACAGACTATTTATTATTTATAGCAGTGGATAAATTGTTAACTCTTTACAGACAAAATTCGTATCCGAATCAAATTTTAATTACTTTTTCATCAGTAGAAAAGGCGTTTTTAGTCTCAATAATTAAAATACTTTTTTTTTTTTAATTTATCCGAATTTTCGCCTCTTCAGTTATTTGCAGGGATAAAATCTGATTTTACAATATATTGTGAATTTTCAACTGAAAACAATATATACAATAATTCTTTCAGAGAATTTACTTGTAGACATTAGCCTATTTATAAAACTCATAATAACATTAAAAACGAATATTAACAAGCTTAATATGTATATATATAAAATAAACTTACTCACTTATAGCAGTATAGCACCATCTTGCACGCCTAGTCATAGTACACAACAGAATGAGACCAATCCTTCAGGCAAGGAAACACTTTATCTGAGGAGACAAGAAATCAAAGGAATTTTGAATAAATATTTTTATTGAATATTTTAAAAATAAAATACAGTTACAATCAATTTTATTTTTTACTCCTTAAAATACAAAATACAAAAAATGTATTCTATTTTGTATTTTAAAATACTTTATTTGAAATACTGCCCAAGTCTGATTCATAGTTGTGACAATATGTATCTTTAGGGGGTGTCATCTGTATAAGACTATACCTTTATTTTGTCTTATGTTTAAAATTCTAATTATTCTTAAAATATCTATGTATGGCTCACTAAGCCCATCTAGAAACAAAGAATGTAAATATAAAGATATATAAAAATTAACGAGTAGATTTTAATCACCAAAATGATAGATGGTTATAACTGTTTCATGATAATAAATCTAAATAGACATTTACATCAAAGAGAACAGATAAATGGGGTACAATCTTCCTATTGTACCATACTCTCCAGTTTCTGAGTTATTCATTTTATGTTAGCCACGTTAAATGTTTGTTTCCAGTGTAAAATTTCAATTTTTTATATTATTTAAGCTTTGTTATTTCTCTTATTTTTTTATGATGAACATTTCTTTTCTTTTTAATTTACTTTTAGACCATGCTCCTATGTAGTTACTGAATACCAGTTTTTTTTTTTTTTTTAGTTTATCAGAATTCAGTGATGAAAACATGATGGATCCTTACAATTTAGCTATATGTTTTGGACCAACTTTAGTACCAGTACCAGAAGAAAAAGATCAAGTTCAATATCAAAATCAAGTAAATGAACTTATTAAAAATATTATTATTTTTCATGAAGAATTATTTCCTACTGACATCGGAGGAACTATGTATGAAAAATATATCTCTAGAGACGAAGACAAGTAAGTATATTTTTTAATATTGTATTTAAAATGTATCGCATTAATTATGGAATTAACGATAAATAAATTTTTTTTCAGTGATATTGGTGATTCACCTTCTGAAAATTTACATGAAGATTTAGATTCTGAAGTATATCCTTCAGAAGATGGTAAAGTTATTATTATTTTATTTCCCTGTTTTAACTTGGCAGTATTTTAAAAATTACTATTAGCTACTGAGGTTATGATTATTCCAAGAACTAAACAAATAATAATTGGATTTTTTCATCTAATCGTCTGATCATTTAACATGTTTCTTCTTCACTGTTATGAATAGGATAGAATACATATTTATTTGTTTTAGGGACTGGTCGCATATAAATACAAATAAAGTGGGTGCACACATAGTAATTTTTACAGTATAATATTAGTAAATTAATTTCTTATATTTAAATCAATGTAGGAGCAGGGCAGCTCGGTAGGAATATTACCCTTTAAATAATATAATATAACATAACACAACATAATAATATAATATAACATTATAACAATACTTTTTTTTTTTTACATTATAACAATACATATGACACTACAGGGTACTTACTACTACAAAATAAATCGAAATGCTTTATAAATAAGAGAAAAGGTATGTTAAAACTAAAAGTGTCTATACATTTTGGATAAATGCTCTTAAATTGAGACTATAAACAATATAATAATATAAACTGGATATCTGTTCCCTACTTATGACTTTTATAAATAATGTAAATATGGCAGGTGTCATTGAATTTAATGTGGGTAATAGCTCTTTCCTATAGGATTTATAAATGGTGAGGCTAAGAGAAAATGGTATAAATCTTCCCTTCATTCAAAGTACATTATTAACACGTATGAAACATAAAATAAAATAAATTTTATTTAGTAATCAATTTGTTATTTAATTTAACTTTTTCTGATTGATATTTTATTCTCTTTTATTTATAATATAATTATAAATTTATATATAATAATAATAAATTTAAAAATAAAATTTCTATTTTTCTTATAACTAATTAATTTTGTCTTTATATTAGACCTCTGATGAAATAAGTAAATAATATTTATTATATTCTCATTCCTATAATATAGGTCCGTAAAGGCTGAAATATAGAAAAATAAGTTATCTCTTAAACCTTTTAATATATTAACCATATTTTAAACTTTTTCCTACTAGATTTCAAATGTTAAAATTATTCATTTTAAATAAAGTGAAATTACATACATACAGCAGTTCAGATTGAAAAGGTGGCTTACAAAAATATTGGGCTGTTTGGCCTATACGATCTCCTTATTTTGACATGCTGGGAATGGAGGTCACGCTAAATGGCCCAATATTTTTGTATGACACCTTTATTCTTGATTTTTCGATCAAATTATCTTACTTTTTAAGTGGATAGCAAATGGGTGCTCATGAGTTTTTTGTATCTAATTAAATAGACCAATTTTGCCGATCTCCAGATTAAAATGCCCCAATTCCTAGAATTTTTATTAATAAAAAAGTTTTATGCGGATGTTAATAATTTTATAAAAAGATGTCTGTATCTGTATCACAGACTAATGATACAATCCATACATATATTATTACAGTAAGGCTCGAAAACGGTTTTGTACCAAATATAAGCTCCTGTCATGCTCAAATACCACGAATGGGGTACCGTTGGATTCAGAATTTCACGGGGGGTTAGCGAATCTTATTCTCCACTTTTGTTTTTCTTTCTAAAATAAATAAAGTCGATACAAACATTTTGCTAGGCTTCGATACTTGAACGGTGGTAGGTCTGTAGATCGATAAGGGACAAATTAGATCTTAAAGATTTTGATGCGTACAGCAAGACCCGGATAGTCCTTCGGAACTATCGGATCCTGCGTTTTTAAGCCGAAAAAAATACTATTTTCGAGATAACGCAAGGCATAGGGTTCGCATCCACACAACCTTACATTAATTGCAGTACTGTCATTGAATACATGTCTCATTTCGTCGACTTGAGGTCTCTATGATCGAGAGAGGGGGAGTTCATATTATTCATTGATGGTGTTTTTGATCAGCAAGCCATATCATCGTTAATTTTTCACCAAATCTCAAGATTGAGCCACCAATTTCGAAGGCTTCCTTCTCTTTCAGGCTGGCAAAATAGTCCAATCACCCAGAAAATTCAGGCAAACAAGTTACGAAAGAAAATAAACTTTATTTGTGAATAACTGAAAAATTACACACTTTTCCCTTGGTTATTCCCATGATTATATAAAATATTACTAAATTGCTTACAAAAGGATAAAAGAACATCATCGCAATCGGACAATTTTTAGCAAATATACAGCTTACTGAAATTTGTATACATGTTGGTTCCAAACAAAAATGAAGATTTAAATTAATTTTCGTTTGCTTTGTGGATTATATTTATCGATAAAGTAACATTTAATGTCTTAATCTTTTGATAAGTTGCATTTTCTTATTAATTTGGCATTTGATAACAATATGCTGTGCGAATTTTTCGCACGGGCCTACTAGTTATACAAATTAGCTGAAAGCCAGAGAGGATACTGAAGGGCTGAACGAATAAGTTAGAATTCAAGTCAAAACAATTACAATATGTCTTTCTAAAGGCGGAATTCCATTGAGGCAACTTTATGGCAAAATGTAGCATGTGCCATTGAAGCATGCTACACACAGTCTTTCCACAGAAGGAACACAAAGCGACAAAAAATATGTCTCCTTGCCACATGCTACAAGTTGACCTTTGTTGCCTGTCGAATGCGTCATCGCTCTGGAGCCAGGGCCCGAAATTCGACCTGATTGCAGGCGAAGGTTTGATTGTAAATTACAAAAGTGTATGTTATTGAGTAAAAAGAATCTTGTCTGCTGTTCCAGAGCCTCTGCTCTCAAAAATGATGTCTGATTTAAAGGATATTAGGGCAATAATTTGAGGGTCGATACTGGAAATCCATTGCGAAAAGTTTTGATTTTTTTAACTTGTATACGTGGGTTTAGATATGTTAAAAATAATATTGCTAACACAACCCACCAAGGGAAAACTTTTTACAGCCAAAAAAGTCAGATTTTTTTGATAATTTTTGTTTTTTTCATCTATAACTCTTAAACGATGCATCAAAGCGAAAAATGTATTCTTTAATAAGTTAAAGAACGTTAAATTTTGCATCAAACAAGTACATAATCTTTATAATTTGGTTATTCAGTAAGGTATAAAACCACGGTCAACCAACGCTGGTTTTTACCAAATTTGTCAAAAACTGAGACAAATTACTATAAATGGCCCTGTAACTTGGAAATGAGTTCCCTAAGAAGAAAAACCAATACAATCAAAGTTGTAGAGCATCAAATTTCGCATCAACTGAATACCAACTAATTTAATGAAGGTCACTTACTGTGAACAAAATCGGTAAACTCCCGTTGGTTAGGAATTGGTAATGAAGGTAAACATGATTTTCAATATTTCAACAGTATGGGTGGGTGTCTATTCTACTGAGTTATTTGTGTTTAGAGTCTGTTAAATGCAGTATAAACCTCTTTTCCATCTCTCAACAGCAAAGGATTTTGGTAAACGATGTGTTCAGAGTAAGTGACCTTCATTAAATTAGTTCCATGTAACAGACTCTAAACATAAATAACTCAGTAGCATAGACACCCATACTGTTGAAATATTGAAAATCACGTTTACCTTCATTACCAATTCCTAACCGTCGGGAGATTACCGATTTTGTTTACAGTAAGTGACCTTCATTAAATTAGTTGGTATTCAGTTGACACAAAGTTATTCAGTTGGTTTTTCTTCTTAGGGAACTCATTTCCAAGTTACAGGGCCATTTATAGTCATTTGTCTCAGTTTTTGACGAATTTGGTAAAAATCAATGTTGATTGACCATGATTTTATACCTTACTGCATACCTAATTATAAAGATTATGTACTTGTTTGATGCATCGTTTAGGAGTTATAGATGAAAAAAACAAAAATTATCGAAAAAATCTGAGCATCGAATTCCGCGTCTGCTGGGTATTAACAATTTTGAAATAGATCAGTTATATTTCTCAAATCTGGATTTGTTATTTTGTTTTTTTTTTCATGAAATTTGTTTTTGTTTTTTACACCTCATTATCCTATATTTTTACATCTCTGAACACTTATATACTAGTTGAAAAATAAAAACTTTTCTCACATTTTAAGCAATGAATTTTCTGTTCCGATCCTTAAGTAACTGGTCTAATATTCTTTACAAAATTCTTATTAAAGTTTTAATCAAATAATGCTGATAGTTTTCTCGCAGACTCTCGTACTAAAATTAATTTTCCACTATTCTTCAAGCGTGAAATATTTAATTAGACCGAATTTCTTGACCATATCGTGGTGTTTATCTTTTCCTTTTATGATTCAATATGATTACCAAATATGCAGCTGCTGGGGCTATTTGTAATGACATGATGTACCAAATTGAAGTTACCTGAATGAAATCACTTTAGTCACATGCTACATGAGTGTACGACAAAGCGCATGCGATGTGGGGCAACCAATTTATGCATGCGACATTAATTGAATTTTGTGTCACATAGTCAGACAGCTACAATAGGCAACAAAAGGAAACAAGTATCAAGCAAAATGTCGTTCAGTGTTGCTTCAGTGGAATACCACCTTATTGTTGGAAGGCTTTTATTATTATCCAATTGTTTAGGCAAGTTATATTCCAAGAATATTCCCCACTTGTGTTTACTTCTTCCTTATGAAATATTAACTTTGATCTTTACTTACCTTGAATTACAAATTTAATTTTGACAACATAGTAAAATAAAAAGGTAAGTATTAACCAACACATGTACATTTATATTTATAAATAATCTAATTTAGCACTAACATTTTTAATTTAATGCTACAAAAGTTCAAATCATGCAATTTAAGCCAAAATGTGCGATATAAAATTTAAATATGTTATTCTACAGGTCCTGAAATGAATAGATATTCGGGTTTAGAGTTTTGTCCAATAACATGGAAATCCAGTCTGAAATCACAAACAATGATAATGATTACACTAATCATGGTTACTTGATTACGATTACAGTGATCTGGTTAATGGTTATGATTGTAATCAGGTAATCATGTAAATTTTCTGTTATATTGAATCAAATATAAAATTGGCTAGTTTTATTTTTAGTTGTAATCACGTAACCATTGATTCTGATTTTGTCCATCTCTGGGTTAATTCAATAATGATCTGCCTATCATGATTATATGATGGTTCTCATAATGACAATGGAATTTTTATTGACCATTATTTTTAGGTTATGTATGTTTTTTAAATGGAAATAGGTATGGATGAGGGGAATGAGTGGAAGGTATGTCTTGTAGAGCAGGCTATTTCATTGGTATTCTTTAGTTAGACCAGTTATAGGTGATCTTAGACTAATCAGTGTAAATAGTTCCTTTAAACACCTCCCCCCATTTCAGACGCACATGTATTTGTTCATAATTTATTGTGTTTAATTTAAAACTGTACATGAATTAATTTTAGTAACATTTATTTTAGAAGGAGAATTTGTTGAAGCAACAGCACAGTATGACTTTGCTGCAAGAAATGATAGAGAATTGTCTTTAACAAAAGGTGATTCAGTAACACTTTATAGTCAAGTAAGTTGTGACTGGTGGAGAGGTGCTGTCAGTGGAAAGGAAGGCTTAGTTCCTGATAAGTATATATCTATTAAAATCAGGTATTTGTATTTCTGATATGTTATTCAATATTAATATTCTAATAAATGTGTTTTACCACACTAAATAAAAGTTTTAAAGATAATTTATTTGTTAAATTAAAGTGTTGATTAAAGATATAAAGTGTTGAGCATGGTGCCGGATAAACCTGAATACTTTAATGGAAGAAATTTTTGATCTCAAGAAGAAAAATTCTGACGAGAACAAGAAAATTAATGCTCTGGAAAATGAACTCAGAACCTTTAAAAGAGATAGAAAAAGTAAATACTTCTTAATCTTTAATTTACCTGCTGTGGAAAACGAGGATGTTCATTCAAAAGTTGTATCGGCCTGTCAAGAAGTTAATATACTACTACCTGAATTTTCCATAAATAACTGCTTTCGAATTGGTAAAGGCAAAAAACCAAGACCAATTTTGGTATCACTTAATAATAATCGTATTTAACAGGCAATTATGAAAAATAAAAAACCTTTCAAAATAAGAACATAAGAATTAAGTCATGATAAATTAACGGAGAATAGAAAAGAAGATAGAAAATTTTTTAATTATATCACTAAGCTGAAGGCTATAGACAAAAATGCAGCCTACAAAAGAGGTTTGTTTAAAGTCAGAGACAGCCCTTACCGGCTGGATGAAGTTAAAAATATCCTTAATACTTCCCCGACTAGTGTCTGATGAAAAGATGAAAAATCCGAATATATACAGATTATAACAATGTCAGTTCCAACTGAGATCCATTTCCATCAGTTCTCTCAGTGGTCCATCTACAGAAACTAATTCCTGACCTCAGAATCTTCTCCTATCGATCATATCATATCAGCTTACAGACTGCTTGAAAATGGATTTGATATTATCTACTGAAATATAGAAGAGTTTAAGAATTCTTAAAATTTAAATAATTAGAATTTATCTTTTTTTGTCTTAATACAAAATAATGTGCTTACAAGAAACATTTATCCTCAACAGCAATATTCTGCTTCATAGTTGCTCTTAGTCATACTAGTTCATAATTTTTATTTGTTCAATATTTGATTCGAATATATTAATATTTAATTGAATTCAGCAGTGAAGGTTTATTAACCTTAGTTATAAAATTCAAATTTAAAGGCAGTAATTTATGGCTATTAGTAATAGAAATAGATAACATAAAACTACTAATGGACAACATTTATTACAGACAAATTTTAGTCTTTTTGATGAAGTATTATGGAATTTATTATGAACTATTGAATGTTTGTAATATTAGTATGTAATAATGTAATGCTTAACGTAATGTTTATCACTTTAACATATTCTATTATATTGTTTTTGTTTTTTTTTGTTTTCTTCTTTTTCTAACATTTAATAGGAAGGCATTACATATTATTGTTACTATTTTTTAAATGCTTTTATTGTGTATATATTTGATTTTGTTTTTAATATTTTCAAAGTCGATACATTTTGTTTACATTGTTTTATAGTTTTCTCTCCTTTCTTTTTACTTTTATCATACATTGTTTATTTAATTTATTTTTTTTTTATAAAGAAAAAAAGAATATCACTGATTTACTTTTATATTTGTGTAGCTGTTCATTATTGATTTTTCTTTATGTAAAAGTGTTTGTAATGGAGCCAGGCCTCCTGTAATTGTAAATATTTGCAAAATACTCAATTTTTTCATTCATTCATTCATAAATTCCTGGATGCCAAAACATGAAAAATAATCATATTTGCATTTCTAAAATTTCAACAAAGTAAATATAACTAGTGATCCTAAAGGTTACCAACCTATTCTAGCCAGTGTGAGAAGGGCGAGATTCATTTTGTGAGTCTGCCATGCAGTTAATTTTAACCAGCTCAGCTCACATTCAAACAATCACCATGTCCTATTGACCTTGTTTAATTTAAACAACTTGAAAGTATTATTTTCAAAAATATTACTGGCAAAATTTCAGAGGCCCCTTCGTCTCATTTGAGTGGCAAGGTTACACTAAACAATATTTGTTGCATTTCCCAATTCATTTATCACTACTGCAGTAAAACTGAAGATCAAGATTTTATTCTGTCCTTAATCATTCAACTCAATTGACTCAAATTCAAAATTATCTGAATCCACTGTTTTAGAAATCTGTAGAAAGAAATATGGAAAAGGTTGGCTTCCTCATTTCCTGATAGATTAATAGTATAACTGAATAAGCATTATAACATTTTAGGTATCTTTTTTTTTTAATAATTATTAACATAATTGTCTGTAATCACCTGATCAGACTTTTTCAGAAACTATAATATTAAGTTTTAAGTGGCATATTTCATTAATACATCTAAGTTTATACTAGCTGTATTGGTGTATTTTATTCTATTTATTTTTGCTCAGAGAGGATGGAGTGGAAAAATCCAACAAGTGGGAACATGATGGTGATTCAGAGGAGAAAAAATATGACTGTCAGTTCTCTGAGTCTTCTTTGACCGATAATATTAGAAATAAAGAAGTTTCTGCTACAGTTAATTCTTCATGGCTTCCTCATCAGCAGGTATTAGAAACAGCTGTGTAACTACAAACGATTTGTCTTTCATAAGTTTTGTGTCATTGTTTGCAATTTTGTTTTGTCTCAGTGTTTTCGAAAAAATGACTTTAGTATTGATTATAAATGATTGAACCAATTAAATAAGTCTTATTTTTTAGTAGTACGGTAATGTTTGTAATGTGAAATGAAACTGTTATGTGACTGTACGTCCACAGTAATGCTGTTGTATTGTGGCTGTTGCTACTTAAAAACTTTTATTTTTTTAAATATATATTACAAAATAAACTCTTTTAAATATAAGTTAGTAATGGCCTAAATTTTCTTTGAGTGAAATCAAACATAACTGAAAGTGATGAAACTAAAGTTTGTTAAATCTCATTATAAACCTCAGTTATACCTTTTATCCATCTTCTTTAAGAATTAAATTAGCTAGGTTCTAAAATATATATTTTATATTACATGTGCCATTGAGATAATTATTTTTATCTTGTTATCATGTGCAGTCAATTGCCAAGTCAGACGTACTTTTATAGTTTTTATTTTAGTAGAAGAAATATAAAGTTAAAAGTTATGTATTTAGATCACAATCCTGATGCATCTACCCATTTGATCTCTTAGATACAATTGATATTCTTAATATCTATGTTTGTAATTAATTTCTAGTAATTAATGCATGAATATTGAATTTTTTCGCTTCATAAATCTATCATTCTTTATGCCATAAAAACATAAGTAAAAAGATAGATTTGTATCTGATTATTAAAAATAAATAAAATAAACATTTTCTTTTATATCTGTGATATACCAATGCTGGTTTATGTTTTATAGACTCTTCCCATGACTATTTTTTTTCTTTCTTTGATCAATTAATTTACTTTATAGTATAATAAGAAGTTAAAATCACAAACAATTAATATTTATCAGAAAAAATATGCGTTGTGTTTTCTACAAAAAAACTGTTTATTAATTTATTATTACACTAATAAAAAGGGGCCCATAACAATCATAAAAACAGTTTGAATATACTAGTTATACCGAATTGAATATACCGAAATCACTACTAGTTCTATTAAAGCTGCTGTTTGTGGGTATTAACAGAGATTTTTATTTATCAAAATAATGTGTCATCAGTATGAGATTTGTTCACATTGTGTGGTCACATAAATCATTTTATTTTATTCAGATACATAATTAATTACATGATATGATTCATGATCATTATATAGTTTAACTACATATCTAAGGAGATGAGTAATGTTTTGTGTTAATTAAATAATTTTAATCTTACATTACTACTGGATAACTGTGAAAGAATGAATTGATATTGAAATGCCAAAACTTCATTGTACAAATTTTACCCTCCAATTGATTTGTATGATTTTGTATATAGTAATAATAGAAGGATTATTACAGATCATAGCATCTTTTATCTGGATTATTTTATTGTCTGAAATAGCCATGGATATATTATTGCAGATATAAACACGGTTCTATGGTATTTTATAACCTTAATGCTACCTTCATGTCTCACTGGGTTTTAGTTCATCACCTATTTTGTTTTTATTCTTTGTTAACTTTAGTAGTCCTCCATTGCTTAGTTCTTTGTTTTTATCTTATTTTTTGTTTGTTTCATAAATGCATGTAGCCTCCTTTTTTTGCTAATACATTAATATATAGTACATAAAACAATTTGCCTCATTTTATCAATTTAAACTCTATAAACATATTTTTAGAAAACTAGTTATTTCTAAATTTAAAATAAAATTATTCCACAATAATTAAGGATAAATAGTTTAAGATAATTAAAACCTTAAATTACCAATTTTAGTCTTTTGTCACTTTTCATATCCCTTGAGACAGGTTTTACCAGTGATGTTATAAATTGTCAAGTTTACTGAGAACTTGGCATAATAATTGAAGGTTTTTTCCAATTTTTATTGTAGAACCATTCAGTGAACGACAATGTTAAATTTATAACGTATATCACATTCACATGAGAAAAGTTCTCATTCCTTGTCGATCATATAAAAAATTATTTATCTATTCATTTTTGCAATTGAGTGACATTGCATATCACACTAGAAAAACATACCTTTAACCAACAGGAGTGTTGTAATTCATTTAGATATTATTTTGTTAAGATCTTATTCAATTTTTTTTTTTTTTCATGTTTATTGATTATTCAAATTCATTTCTTGATCAATTTAATCTGAAATTTCTTTTTGTAGCATAGTTTTGTTAAGTTTGTATTAAAAAATGTAATTTTATACTTCAAATAGTGTTATTGGGGGTATATGGATAGATATTGGTAATTAAATTAATATTGGTGGTTGATTGTTAAGTTTAATTTTTTTTTTCTCAAACTTTTTTTGGTTTTATATTCTCAAATTAGTTAAATTATCACATAGTCTAATGATTCAACATCCAGCTTTCTCATTTGCTTTTATTTATCACTTTTTTTCTCAATATTTATTGGTTCTATAGTATTTGTACCAGTATGATTTCCAGGTCTCCCCTTATTTATTTTTCATTGGTGGCACTTAGCAATCATCATTAGTCTTTCAGACCTCTAAATTCATAACTTCAATATTCAAGACCATTTTCATAAATTCTAGTAATAAATAAATATGTTTGTAAAATAATGAATAAGTACTTCATGTTATTAATATAAAATGCAGTCAATTACAAAATAACAATAAACAATTATCAATGCTTATTTAGTATTAACAAAATCTTCAAAGGTTGATTGTTACATAATAATTAATATTACTTTATTTTTAAAATTTATTTGAATTCTCAAGTGATATTTTTTCTACTTGTTTGAAATCAATTCTTACACTTTTCAGTTCAATGACATAACTATAAGACTTTTAGCTGTCGATCTCATTGATTCAAGCTGAGTTTATTATTTCAAATGCTTCAGAAAATGAAAAAAATATTTTATCTTCTAATTATTATGCTGAAAATTAACTAAATACTATTTCATTTAGCCAATGAAAATTACTTTTTTTTTACTAGCCAATTATGATATTTTGATAAACATGACTGAAATTTGAATTTCATACTGTTATAAAACGATTTCTTATTTAGGTTCCTTCATAAAATCTATTTCATTCTTGTCTTCTAATTCATCTATTATCCAGATATTGCCATATTTGGAATTCTCTTATTGTGAAATCAACCAAAAGATTCTTTGAGAGATTAGAAATTATTTGAAGAATGGTTATTGCCTAGTTCTACACCTTTCTCTCATAAATTCATCAATGTTTATAAAAAAAATTCACATTTCCAGCCAATTTTATCAGCTATAGATAAATTTCCTTTTGGAAAGCACTCACCCATTTAACCTTGTCTTTGTTTAGTTTTATTCGTGAAAAGAAAAAAATAATAGTACTACAACCCATGAAGGATCTTGGGTTCAGTACTATGTTGAGAAGTACTGTTTCTTAGTCAATGGCTGTGCGAGGAGGTGATTTGTCTGAGATCATGATCAACCACCCGGTTTTCCCCCTGAATTAAATGAGATAACTTTCTTTATAGAGGCTAGGTGTGCCCCAGGAGTGTGTCTCGACCCCAGGATCAATTCATGGCCGATGAAACAGAATAAATAATTTATCTGTTATCAGCCAGATTCGAACCCGGGATCTTGAGCTCTGGAAATCAGTGCTCAAGCCACTATGCTACCCCACTCCGCTTAATTTTATTCATATGTCTAATAAATTTAAAAGTAAAATAACGTCTATCTTGTTAGCAAAGTTGGGTAAAAAAAACATCCTAAACCTGATTGAACTCTTGAAGACTTATTCAAATATTAGTATATAGTTGTAGTACTTTGCCCCTCAACAATTATTTCACTTTAGCATAAGGTTATATGAACCTATCTCTTCACATGTCTCAACTTTTACATGAGTTAACTTTATTTTTTTGTCAAATTTCATTTATCATAATGATAATAACATCTTGATAATATTTCAATAATAATGGAGAATTTTTTGTTGGCAGAAGTTGTTCATGTTGGTTTTAAAAAATGCAGTATTTGGGATATTTTTTTGATATTTATTTATTAGAATAGTTATTTTATTATTATAGTTGAATAGTTAATTCTTTCCTGGCTTCCAGTTCAATATCTTCCCAATGAAGCCTTATAAAGTTTATAGATGTTCCGATTGAGTATGAATATGTAATCAACATGTATGGATTGGAGTAACTAATGTAATAATGGTCAAAATTATTCTGATTTTGCAACAGTTGCCTCATACAACACTGACATGTTGGGCTTCTCTAGCTACCTACCTCCTTTCTTTTTCAGTTCACAAATTGAGTTCAATAACAGCAAACATACTTTTATTTAGAATATCATTTTTTTTTTAGAATTAATATAACGTAAAAACACATATAATTTCAAGATTTTTTCATGAAGCACCCGTGTTGGCTGCTGGTATAAATTATTTATTTCATTTTAATGTAATTAGAAAAGAAAATATTTGTTATTAACATGTTAATAATGATTAATCACATCTTGAAATCATAATTATCCATCAGTGGTGTTCATTTCATTTGTAGCATTGTTTATTTATTTATAAGGATAGGAGTGGTCCAGTGGGTAAGGCACTAGAATCTTAACTGTTGAGCTGAGACTTGAGCCCGAATGTAGTTTGTTTTGCATGAATTAAGAAATAAAAAATTAACCACATAAAATATTTATGTCCCCAATTAGAAATAAATGAAAGAAGACATGAATAAAATGACATATGTAAGTAATAGTGTCTTGCAGCTTTGTAATGACCTCAAGAATTTTTTTTTTATTCACTAATTGTTTTTCTAAGTTTATAAATATATTGAATTGGAAAGATTATTCATTTAATAATTTTTAAAAGTTTGCATAAATAAAATTACATTTTGTGCATGATATTTGAATTGGATTCTTAATCTTAAATTTTCCCAAATGTTTAGGTGTTCCTTTAATTTTGGTGATTGTATCTCATACAAGCATTTCTGTTTTTCCG